GGGGGTTGCGCTAGTTGAAATATTCAGCCCACCTATGGAGGCAACGCAGAATCACCCCACACACAGGTCAAGACAAATATTTTGTTTGAATGTAATGGGTTCGTCGATAAAACTAAAGAATGACTAAAAACGACACAATGCTTCTGAAAACGGCATGAAGTCGGGGAGAACGTGCACGTTTAAAAAATAGAAAAAAAATTAAATGAAGCACATTGTCTTTTATCTTCTTTAAATGTATTATTTTACGAATACTTGGTTGTTCATAAACAATTTTATTTGTAGTTTGTTTTTCTCCCTTAAATTTAATCTTGCTCAAAATGCGCGAAGAATTGAAGGCACGTAGATTTCAGACTGAGCAAGGTGACCGACTATTGGTGCATGTTTATCATACGCGTAAGAAAGTGTCCCAAAGTTATCGGCGTGTTTTCTTTGATTACATATCCTACAAAGCTACTTATTTCCCCCAATTTTAGACCTGCTGATGATATTTCCCTCCGAAATGCACCTGTACAGGAAGACATGACAGTCATAACATCTGGTCAGATAACAGGGGCGGATCCAGGATTAATGAAAGGCAGGTCCGCGGATGGATCGTCTTAACTTCATTCTAGAAAATTCATTCTAATAAATTGCTTACAAGGTCAGCTACCACAGGAGTAGTGAAAAGATTAAGCAGTGACGACTTGACGTGAAATTGAATAGTACTCAATCCACTCAATCTGTGGAATGTCAGGCGACTCCATTCCAAAAAAGGGGTGTTATTTGGCCCAATCCAATTCCATTAGAGGGATGACAGGTGGGGCAAGTCCATTGCATCAGAGGGGTGACAGGTGGGGCGAGTCCATTGCATCACAGGGGGGGGGGTGACAGGTGGGGCGGGTCCATTGCATCAGAGGGGTAACAGGTGGGGCGAGTCCATTGCATTAGAAGGGTAACAGGTGGGGCGAGTCCATTGCATCAGAGGGGTGACAGGTTGGACGAGTCCATTGCCTCAGAGGGGGTGACAGGTGGGGCGAGTCCATTGCATTAGAGGGGTGACAGGT